TCCGGGCGAAGATCATCCCCCAGCTGGCGCAGGAACGGTGACGCCCGCGCGTAGTGGAGATGGTGGACCGTGTCGGTGAACGCTTACTACAACGAACCTCACGAAGCGCGCGCCTCGAAGGTGACGACGTCGGTACCTGACGACGGGTCTTAGTGAAGGGAGAAGATATACTCCAGGGGTGAGAAGTATACTCTCTCTCTCTCTCTCTCTCTCTCTCTCTCTCTCTCTCTCTCTCTCTCTCTCTCTCTCTCTCTCTCTCTCTCTCTCTCTCTCTCCCTTCAGCGGGGGATTCCAACCCGGGTCCCTGAGGCCGCGGGTCGGGGGCGGCAACACTCCGCCAGAGGCGGGGGTAGGGGAGAGGTCCATTATAAAAGGTCCCGCACAGTTTCGCATTTCTTTTTTGTATTGAATAATTTCAATTTAAAATATGCAACACCGCCAAGCGGGGCTTCCCACACTCTGTCATCGCGGACCTTGGCCACGGAGGAAGGGAGGGAGGAGGAGGGAGGGAGAGGAGGAGGGAGAGAGGAGGAGGAGGAGGGAGAGAGAGGAGGAGGAGGGAGAGAGAGGAGGAGGGAGAGAGAGGGAGAGGAGGAGGAGAGAGAGGGAGAGGAGGAGGGAGAGAGAGGAGGAGGAGGAGGAGCGAGGAGGAGAGAGGGGGAGGAGGAGGAGGAGAGAGGAGGAGGAGGAGAGAGGGAGAGGAGGAGGGAGAGAGAGGAGGAGGGAGAGAGAGGAGGAGGAGAGAGGAGAGGAGAGGAGGAGAGAGGAGGAGGAGAGAGAGAGGAGGAGGAGGAGGAGGGGAGAGAGAGGAGGAGGAGGAGGAGAGAGAGAGGAGGAGGAGGAGAGAGAGAGAGAGAGAGAGAGAGAGAGAGAGAGAGAGAGAGAGAGAGAGAGAGAGAGAGAGAGAGAGAGAGAGAGAGAGAGAGAGAGAGAGAGAGAGAGAGAGGAAGGAGAGGGTGAGCATACAAAGACTTTACTTCAGCGTCTTAGCTTAATTTTATCTCTGTCTGTCGTCTGAGGACACTGCCGTTTGTTAACAGCCTCCCGTCTGCCCTTAAGTGTCTCATCTCAGACACCTTCACGGACCACAGTGATAAGACAAGAGATAAACATTAGACAGGAAAAAAATGAAAATTGAAATAACATGATTAAGGTCTAAATACACACAAAGGGATGAAGTAGCTCAAGCTATTCTCACCTCGTTCAGTACAACGTGTTGACCAGACCACACACTAGAAGGTGAAGGGACGACGACGTTTCGACTTGAGAATGGTCCAGGACGGACCGAAACGTCGTCGTCCCTTCACCTTCTAGTGTGTGGTCTGGTCAACTTACTTTAGCCACGTTATTGTGACTCATCGCCCGCATACAGCGTGTTCACATATACACACACAAACAATAACCATATGAACATTCTGAGTGATAAACATATACATTTTTTTCCTTTACACATGCAGGAAAAGATGAGAGCTTGGGGAAATATGTGGAAAGGGGAAAAAGAGAGAGAACACATCAAAGAGGGAGGGACAGTATGGGTGGGGGTGGGTAACGTTTAGTAAAGAGATGCCTATTGCCTCTATGCATAGGGGGATCACCATAGCCCGTGCTATTTTGAATGTTTTGTTCCCAGTAGCTGAATCTTAAAACAACAACAACAGCTTCTATGCCTGGCACTGCTGGGAGTGCCTTGGCATCTCGTAGGGGGGTGTAGACCCCCCCATCTATCGACACTTTCCTTCTAAGACAATCAAATATCTTCTTTGGGGTTTTATAGCTAATATTTGCCGACCTCAGTTATTATTCGCATTCATTCCTGTTTGATGTTTTACTCTTTTGTTTTTCTCACGCGCGCGTGTGTGTGTGTGTGTGTGTGTGTGTGTGTGTGTGTGTGTGTGTGTGTGTGTGTGTGTGTGTGTGTGTGTGTGTGTGTGTGTGTGTGTGTGTGTGTGTGTGTGTCACCTAGTGTGTACGCGCGTGTGCGTGCAGGGGTTGAGCTCTGGCTGTTTGGTGTCTCAACCGTGTGTACAGGTGTACTCACCTAGTTGTGACTTTCGAACAATTAGTAATTTAAAGCAATAACAGTTCTTTCATGTTGCCATCATATTTACATTTAAAACTGTGTGTTGAGACGCCTCGGTCAACCCTCTTCATATACTCGCCTTCTCTTTATTCAGGACTTTCACACTGATGAAATTCCTTCTGACATCTATGTTTCTAACTTCATATATATGTTCCGCTGTTTTGATCTTAACTCTCAACATTGCATCTTGTCTACTTGTGCAATAGAGCGGTTGAGCGACGGCCTCGCTTCATACAGGTCGGCGTTCAATCCCCGACCGACCAAAGTGATTGGCCACCATTTCTTCCTCCCGTCCCATCCCAAGTTCTTATCCTTATCTTATGACTCTTCCAAGGGTTGTTCTTATCTATCTTATGACCCTTCCAAGTGCTATATAGTCGTAATGGCTTGGTGCTTTCCCATGATAATTCATTCTTTCACTGTTTGGAATTTTGTCTCATTGATTTACGCTCATCTGTAAACATTGTAGTTCTTTCCGTGTTGCCAGAGCGTGTATTATAAACATAATGGGTGCCAGCACCGCCCCGAGGGGCACTCCGCTCATTCCTCCACTCCCTGTCTGAGTGCTGCTCCCTCACCTAACTTAACACTCTTCAAGTTACCCCAGGAAGCTTCTCTAACTTGGGTAGAAAGCTTGCGTGGGACAAGTCGAATACTTCCTGACAATTAAGGATGATGCAATCTGCCAAACCCTTTCACTCTTGTATAATTGCCCTAATTTAGCCGTACGACTCCCAATCACTTTGTCAATGGGGAAAATGGGAGGTTATTATGATGGTGTTCGCAGCCCGTGACAGGCTAACACCCAGGTACCTATCTTACTGCTAGGTAAATGGTTTGGCAAAATTTTGGTGTTTCAAAGTGTTCTATGAACCACCTTCGACCAGTCAGGCAACTCTCGGGGGATGAGTGATGCTGCTGCTGCCTTGAATAGGCTAACAAGCCTAAGAACATTATCTATAGTTAGATTACAATGATTTCATAACTGTAGCCTGTTTCGAGTGCTATGTATTGCTCGCCAGTCTTCCTAAGTACCGAGTTTCCTCGTTAATTTACTTGTATGACGCGAGGAGCTCATGGTAAAGACCTTTACTATTGACAACACTCCCTGGACCATAATGTGTGTGTTTGTGTGTGTGTGTGTGTGTGTGTGTGTGTGTGTGTGTGTGTGTGTGTGTGTGTGTGTGTGTGTGTGTGTGTGTCTTATTGTTCCTGTCTAACTGTCATTGGTGTGAGTCGTCCGGTGCTACGACCCTGTCACCACATGGGTCGCTACGTTGGTCATCACCACATGGGTCACTACGTGGGTCATCACCACATGGGTCGCTACGTGGGTCATCACCACATGGGTCACTATGGGTCATCACCACATGGGTCGCTACGTGGGTCATCACCACATGGGTCATGGGTCATCACTACGTGGGTCATCACCACATGGGTCACTACGTGGGTCATCACCACATGGGTCGCTACGTGGGTCATCACCACATGGGTCACTACGTGGGTCTCGTTACAGTTACAGCTGAATTACAGCCAATTCCTCCCGCAGTGTTTCATTCACTAAAGAAATCCCTTCATATATCTATGGGCTCGTTTGTGTCTTTCAGTAATGGTTCTCCCCAGTTGTATCCACATTACTAATCATTACGAGTATCTTCTACATGGTGAACATGTCCAATTTGAAACTCGGGCGCCGACCTGTAAGATGCAAGCCATCTGTGCGAGGATTGCAAGCTCTAATAATCCGGAAGGAAGTTAGGTTTGTGACGTTCTTCTTCTGCCAAGAGGAGTATAAACAGACTTAAACGCATCCATACCCTTAGGACATAGACCATATGGTCAGTTGAGCCACAGAGCTTTGTCTCCTCCTGTTGCCAAAGTGACCCAAATGTCCTGGGGGTCAAGAGGCCTCAAGATAGGGTTTGAAGACCAATGATAACTGCTTATATTAATATGTGTATGAACCCCGTAAATGGCAAAAAGGTTTAGTGGTAGCGACACTGAAGAATGAACTGTATGATTGTTGATTGTCTCGCTACTATACGATGCTAATGACCTCATTGTAATGGAGACTTACAACCCATTCAACCCACCGTACATTTTCAAGGTTGAACTCTAGGAACCACGTAACGGACTGCAACTTGCATACGTTGTTCTGCAACCCGGGACACCATCGTGTAGGCTTGTGCGTGTCTCACTCTACGGTCTTTCTCCAGCCTTCTACGTCATCTTGGTCATAAAATTCTGTTTAGTTAGACAGGATTGGCCTTCCCGGAATCTGAGTGAGTGAGTGAGTGAGTGAGTGAGTGTGTGTGTGTGTGTGTGTGTGTGTGTGTGTGTGTGTGTGTGTGTGTGTGTGTGTGTGTGTGTGTACTCACCTAATTTCACTCACTCAATTGTGCTTGCAAAGGGGTTGAGCTCTGGCTCTTTAGTCCCACCTCTCAACTGTCAATCAACTGGTGTACAGGTTCCTGAGCCTACTGGGCTCTATCATATCTACACTTGAAACTGTGTATGGAGTCAGCCTCCACCACATCACTGCCTAATGCATGTGTGTGTGTGTGTGTGTGTGTGTGTGTGTGTGTGTGTGTGTGTGTGTGTGTGTGTGTGTGTGTGTGTGTGTGTGCACATCTTCCGGGTACTGGGCAGCAATAATTCCCCAGCACGACTCGCCCATCCCCCTCTATTGACACTCCTCCGTCCTTTCTCTTTTCCTCCCTATCTCTCCCACTCGGGAGAGTGGGAGAGATAGGGAGAAAACCTCTCCATATCTTTCTTTTTCCCCCCCTCTCTTGGCGCTTTTTCCTGATGGTTCCATTCCCTTCTTTCTCTTGCTCTCTCTCTCTCTTCCTCTCTCCCTCTCCCTCTCCGTGCTGCATGCCCCCGTGAGGCGGGAGATGAGGGCAGGGGTGTACGGCGCCACTCATGGCGGGTCGCTGGAGAGTATATAAGACCGGCGCCGACCTCAGATACCCGTCAGTTCACGCAACACTCCAGCCAAGTGAGTACACCCTTCCTTCTCTCCATGTCCCCCTCACTTCCCCTCCTGTTCCCTCGTCCCTTCCAGGCCTCCCTCGTCCCTTCCACACCTCCCTCGTCCCTTCCAGGGCCTCCCTCCTCCCTTCCACTCCTCCCTCGTCCCTTCCAGGCCTCCCTCGTCCTTTCCAGGCCTCCCTCCTCCCTTCCAGGGCCTCCCTCCTCCCTTCCACACCTCCCTCGTCCCTTCCAGGCCTCCCTTGTCCTTTCCAGGCCTCCCTCCTCCCTTCCAGGGCCTCCCTCCTCCCTTCCACACCTCCCTCGTCCCTTCCAGGGCCTCCCTCGTCCCTTCCAGAGCTCCTCTTTTGGCAGGAACGTAACGCTGTGACTTAAGAGAAAAGTCTGAGGCCCAAGACTGACCATCATGATTGAACACGTGTTGTGTATGATTGTATGTGCAGGTGTACTTGCGTCTGTGTATAAGAACGTGTGTACATGTATTTGAGTGTGTATGTGTGTACATTTAATGAACACACAAGCATGCGTGAATATGAATGTACACATGAACGCGTACATGTGCATTTGAAAGTGTGTATGTGCGCGCCTTCTGACATTGCATTGACTCACTATTCCGCGTGATATTCATTTTTCTACACGACAGAAGCCACGACCACACGAGACAGTAGTGGACAGCGTCGCAGCCTCCTGGACAGGTGACAGCGAGACGGGACTACCCAGGATCCTTACTTCCGTGGACGTTGAAATCTCCAGAGACTAAGCATGCCAGCGGCTCGCCTCTGACGGGGCTCACCTAAAAAACTATGAACCAGGCATATATATACATATTTCTGCCTGATTACTATATATATATATATATATATATATATATATATATATATATATATATATGCGCGTGCACCGAGCAGTGCCAAGGATAGTCTCTCTCTCTCCCCCCCCCCATTCTACCCCTCTTATTTCCTCTTATTTTACCCCACTTCCCGTCCACTCCCCTTTCTCCTTCCCCTCTTCTCTTCCCTCTCAACTCCCCCACATTTACACCTTTCTCCCTAACCTCCTTCCCACACCCCATTCTACCTACCACCTCCAACAGACATACATTTCCAATTATAGAGAAAGAGTACCCGGCGGCACCTGGGTCTCTTTCTCCCCTTTTCACCCTTTTCCTATAACTCTCCCCTTGTCCTTCCCCTTCTCCATTCCCCCCCCTCCCTCCTTCTGTGTAAATTTATTATCAAGAAGCACTGAAACAATATACTGTATAGGTCTCAAAAACTATTATTAAGATGACTAAAACTCTAGGGGAATCACACCAAATATTTCACTGTTGAGTGAAGTATTTGGTGCGATTGGTATCGACTCTATGAAAATCGCCGACGAGGACTCTTATAACATCTATTATGTCTTAAAACATTAAATTTAGACTGTCCCTCCTGCCAGCCTATGTCCGTCCCGTATCCCAGACCACTCCCCCTGCAAAGTTGGGTCAGGTTAGGCCCCAGCATCTAATCTCCAATTCAGGACAATTTTCTCTTAGATAAACTTGCCATGCAGACAACACACACACACACACACACACACACACACACACCTTCAGCACGCACGCTGCTTTAAAGCAATTCCAGTAAACCCACAAAGCTTTTCTTAACATCATTGTGACGTAGAAATATAACGCTTGGGTTACATAATGTGTTTGGTGGGGGACACACACACACACACACACACACACACACACACACACACACACACACACACACACACACACACACACACACACACACACACACACACATTAGGAAGTGATGTGGTGGAGGCTGACTCCATACACAGTTTCAAGTGTAGATATGATAGAGCCCAGTACGCTCAGGAACCTGTACACCAGTTGACTGACAGTTGAGAGGCTGAACCAAAGAGCCAGAGTTCAACCCCTTCGCAAGCACAAATAGGCGAGTTCAGACACACACACACAAGCATATACAATACAGATAACTGCTGACTTGGAGAGTCACAACTCTGACACCACCAGAGCCGTGCTACCTCCTAGTGTGACCTCACTAAAGCCTTCCAACACACAGGGTGAAGTCACCTAGACCTTACAGCACATGACGTCACTGGGACCTTCCATCACGTAGTGTGACATCACCAGAACATTCCAGCACGTAGTGTGACGTCACAGGGACAGTTTAGCACATACTGTGACGTCTCTACGACCTTCCAGCATACCATGATGTCACTAGGACCTTCCTCAAAGGTGTGGTGACCAGGACGTCCCAAGTCCAGGGTATTCCCAGGACCTGACGTCAGTCACGCCGCTGACGCACGGCCGTGACCGAGGAGTAAGGAGACGTCTCTGTCCACCAGACAGGCACTAAACCTCACGTGGACGGGAATTTTGGGCCAATTATTGCAACCATTTAGTGGAACGAACCAAAAAAAAAATAAAAAGGTCTCTTAGAGCCAACACTGTTCACGTATTCCGTAATTAATTTTGTAGAGAGCACGACGAAATAAACTAAAACATTCCTACATATAGCATATATGTACTATATTAGGCCTAATATAGCGAATATTAGGCCTATGATTGCTGGGGATCGGATAGGTCAAGTTCTTTGGTTGTTTATCCAATTTTTAAAATGCCATTTGGGTTAATCAAGTAATAAGAAGTGTTTATTGGTCCAAAAGTTCAGTTTTATACGTTTGACCAAATAGTGTCTATAATATTTTCGTAAGATGAAGGCCCACGAGAGGAAAAAGAGAGATACAGCCAGAATTTTGTAGCCCAATGAAAAATCTGATTGTTTTTATGTATTAGAATTGTAGACATTCGCAGTTACTGTAGCAGCCGCTAGAGGGCACGGAACACTCGCAGTTACTGTAGCAGCCGCTAGAGGGCACGGAACACTCGCAGTTACTGTAGCAGCCGCTAGAGGGCACGGAACACTCGCAGTTACTGTAGCAGCCGCTAGAGGGCACGGAACACTCGCAGTTACTGTAGCAGCCGCTAGAGGGCACGGAACACTGACTGGAGGATTATTTGAGATGTGTTCTTTCTACACAAGTGGGTAGTGGAACACACGACTGTTGACTCCTGCTAGCAGGCTGAGAGCCTTGTCCCTTCCCATAAGGGAAGGGACAAGGCTCATGGTAAGCCTTATCCACTATAGTCTCCCTGGAACACGATACGCCTATCGGTTAAAAATCCGGTACCCATTCACTGCTGGGTGAACAGAAGCGTACAGTTAAAGATTAGCGCCTAGTTATTCCTTCCCGGCCAGGACACGAACCTAAGCCAAATAGCTGGCGAAACGCGGAACGAGTGCGTTACCACTGTGCCACCGAGCTAACAATTAGCTGCTTTCTTAAGAGAAGGAGGCAAGCCGGGAAGACCGGGAGAGGTAAGTTCACGTGATGGCGTTTGTGCGCGTTGCAGCATCTCAATATTTTCTCCTTCCGCAGCCAGAATGATGAAGTTCGTCGCCTCCGTCTTGTGCCTCGCCGCCGCCGCCTCCGCCAGGATGGCCTACCAGTTCTCCGACGGCTACCTGGAAGTGCTGGGCGCTGAACCTGCACGATCGTTCGAGTGCGCCGGCCGCAACTACGGCTACTACGCGGACGTGCCCACCGACTGCCGGGTATTCCACGTGTGTCTGCCCATCTCTGACGACCTGGGCGAGGTGGTCGAGACCGCCCAGTTCTCCTTCTTCTGCGGCAACCAGACGGTGTTCAGTCAGGAGTCCCTCACCTGCTCCCACCCTCTGGAGGCCTTCCCCTGCGAACAGGCCGAGACCCTCTACGACCTCTCCAACGCCGACTTCGGCAAGATCCCCGAAGAAAACCAAAACCAATAACACACACACACACACATCTTCCCTCCAACACCAACACTGTGGCACCAATTCTCGATATCTGTGATATCTACATAACCGATAACAATGGGTCTAGGCCGGTAGGAATAAAATAGCTTTTTACGTCATCTATATTCTGATTATCCCCCAGTATTGAGGTGAGAGGCTCCTGGCCAATTCTTTGAAGATACGGAGTCCAAAACCGCTGAAAATTTACTAATCAAGACATCGTAACATTGTCACTTTCTTTGTGAGGGAATTCAAACGTTGGGCACAGTTATTCATCTGTTATTCACTTCCTACTCGATAATTATTATTCACAGCTGGATACATGACAGCTCACTGAGTCCCACTGTGTCAGTGGAACTCAGTAAGCGACCCGGAGAAGGGTCGATGAGAGAGAAAGGGAGAGATGAGAGAGATGTGAGGGAGGAGAGAGATAAAGGGAGAGGGGGGTTGAGGGAAAGGATGGGATAAGAGATAAGTAGCAATATTGTAGCAATAAGGAAGAGAGAGGGTATTGAAGACTAAGAAAAGCGTTCCAACACTATGTCAACTACTCGTGACACGTGCCAGGCCTCCTGAAGAAGTGCCAGTCGTGTGTGTGTGTGTGTGGCCCTCGGCACCCAGGGTCATGGTGGCCCATGTGAGGCACTCCTCTAACACCCGCATCTCTCAACACCATCACCTCAGTCACCATCACCAAGGTAACCACATGTTACATCACCACAACTATTCCCACCGTCACAAGTAACATCACCACAACTATTCCCACCGTCACAAGTAACATCACTATCACTATCCTCACCATCACCGCCACTATCCTCATCATCACTACCACTATCATCACCACCACTACTGCCATCATCACTATTACAACCACTTGTGTCACTAATACCGCAATTATCATAATAGCACCACCATCGACGTGACAATCCCATCACCCCCCCACAACCATCACCCCCCCCTCAACCCCCCCCCCCCACCTGACAATCCTCTGATGTACCAGCCACTAACAGCTTCTCTAATACTAATTACCAAGATAAAGCTAAAATAAACAGATAACCACAATTCCTGTCAAGCGCCTACGGGCTTCTCAAAGCAATATACGGACCAGCCTGTTCTCTTAATATGCCACAACGTACACTATACATAGTACTAAGGTAACCAGAAACGCATGAACCCAACCCACCCACCTAACCTAACCCACATATACATAGAAAATAATGATATTTGCTAGCCGCTGCTTTTCATAGTATTTTGTACGTTGGGAACATAGCGTACACAATGAGATGTGTTAGTTGAGAGAGAGCGGGTTACACACAGAGATCACTCTAACGTGATGCATCAAATGAACAAATCCACAAGGGCCGTGACGAGGATTCGAACCTGCGTCCGGGAGCATCCCAGACACTGCTTTAATCGACTGAGCTACGACAGGGTTAAAAAGAGTTGAAACCGAAGTTCTACTGAACTGGGATGCTCCCGGACGCAGGTTCGAATCCTCGTCACGGCCCTTGTGGATTTGTTCATTCGAGAGCGGGTTGTTCAGGAAGGCCTAGTTGTGAAGGGGCCTATCAGGAGAAAGCGCCAAACCATTACGACTATATAGCACTGGGAAGGGGTCAGGATAAGAATTTGGGATGGGACGGGGGGAAGGAATGGTGCCCAACCACTTGTGGACGGTCGGGGATTGAACGGCGACCTGCATGAAGCGAGACCGTCGCTCTACCGTCCTAGTTGTGAGCCACTAGGCATTCTTGGCTGCACTCTCCTGACAGGCCTGACGGCTGAGTGGAGAGTGCTCAGGATTCATAGTCCTGAGGTTCCGGGTTCGATCCCCGGTGGAGATGGAAACAAACGGGCACCGTTTCTTTCACCCTGATGAGCCTGTTCATCTAGCAGTAAGCACGGGCTGCTTCCTGGGGGGGGGGTTGTAACAAAAAGGAGGCCTGGTCGAGGACCGGGCCGCGGGGATGCTAAGCCCCCGAAATCATCTCAAGATAACATCAAGAGATCTTAAAAATGACCTAAGTTCGCTTTAGCAACCACTTGGGCTGGACGGTAGAGCGACGGTCTCGCTTCATGCAGGTCGGCGTTCAATCCCCGACCGTCCAAGTGATTGGACACCATTCCTTCCCCCCGTCCCATCCCAGATCCTTATCCTGGCCCCTTCATAGTGCTATATAGTCGTAATGGCTTGGCGCTTTCCCCCCTGATAATTCGCTCCCTTTGTCCTTTGTACTTAAATCAGTTAACTGGGGGGCGATAAGTCGCTTCGTATTCGATGTATGTCGAATTCGAACGGTCACATGTATATATGAACGAATGTACATTCGAACGGTCACATGTATATATGAACGAATGTACATTCGAACGGTCACATGTATATATGAACGAATGTACATTCGAACGGTCACATGTATATATGAACGAATGTACATTCGAACGGTCATTATATATATATATATATATATATATATATATATATATATATATATATATATATATATATATATATATATATATATACACGGTTGTGACAATCAGAAAACAAGCTTTGCCGAGCCCGGTTGTACACAATGGAACAAGATGGTCAAGAACAACCACACATACCGAGACGCTATCATCTTCAAGACCAAAAACTACTACTCTAAGTTCTCCAGTAAACATCACTAGATATCAGAGATAATCAGACCCCGGCTCCCGGCTCTGTTGCTATGATAGTAGAGTTGATTCCTGGTCAATTATCTTTGATTCCTGATCCATGCTAAGTAATCTGCCCCTAACGATTCCTCTAATAATTTTGTATGTCGTAGTCATGTTTCACTTAACTCTTCGTTCTTATAGCGACGTGAGGATTAAGTCTGCAGTTTTCCTCGTAACTCATACCTCTTAGTTCCGGAATTAGTTTGAGGCATATGGCATACTTTCTCTGACTTCGTCTTGTGTTTGACTGGATAAGGAGCTCCACGCCTGAGCCGCACATTCCAGGACTGGTCAGAGATGTTTTAAGACCCAGAATAGTTCCTTACCCAACTTCTTTGTAATATCAACTCTCTGATCTTACGCTACACGATTCCTTAAGGATTTTAAATTCCATTTCGTACCACTTGATTCCTGTTTGTTGCTTGCTATGTCTAGTTTCTTTACTTTGCATTTTTTCAGGTAAACTCTAGTAGCCATTTGTTGAACCAATCTTACAGTCTGTTGAGGTCATCTTCCAGTTTCGTGCCATCTTCCTCCGTCTTAATCCTAATTTTTTGCATGATTAGCAAACATTTAATGGAATTAGTTAATTCCCACCGGATAATCACTTACATAGAAACAGGAATGCTTCGAGTACTGAGTCACTATGGCACTCAGCTGGATACTTTACTTCCCTCTCAGTGACACTGTTTTCTGTTGCTAAGATACTTCTTTATCTCATGGAGCAGCAGCTTTGTTACTTCTGCTGCCTTCTCAAACTTATGCACTATTCTCTTCCCGGGTACTGTGTCAAAGGCTTTCTGACAATCTAAAAACGTGCAGTCTACCCACCCTTCTCAGAGCTTTGTCTGATCCATGTCGTCATGTCACTGAATTAAATTTGTGAGGCAAGATTTACAATCACTGAATTAGTGTTGGAGGGGCGTTACACGGTCTTCTCTCTCTCTCTCCCTCCAAACATGCTACCGGCCTCTTTCTCACAATCTTCTCCATCACCTGACGTAGCCTGCAGTTAGGAACATTTGGCTGTAGCTCACAGTTTCCTGTCTACCGTCTCGTACATTGGCACCACAGTAACCGTCTCTCAACTTTCTGGCATTTCTCCTATTACCAAGGGACTTATTACACACCACAGAAAGCGGTACATACAGGGAATCTGCTCCTATTAGTATCTAGGTGAGAAACTGATTGCTCGTCCATCAGCCTTTGTCATGTCTGCTTCCAGCACATGATTCCTCATCTCATTTTGGTAATGGCGAAGGGCTTCCGTACCGCTATGTCAGGTCAGTCACCTCACTCTGTTGTGATGATCTGAGATGTCTTGAAGAGCTCTTGATGTGTCAATCTCTGTCAGCATCCTCTCCCCATCCTCAGTGTCATCACCTGTTACATTATTGGTGTTTTCCTTCCGTCTAACAACTTGGGCTGGACGGTAGAGCGACGGTCTCGCTCCATGCAGGTCGGTGTTCAATCCCCGACCATCCAAGTGGTTGGGCACCATTCCTTTTCTCTCATCTCATCCTAAATCCATATCCTGATACCTTCCCAGTGTTATTTAGTCATAATAGCTTGGTGCTTTTCCCTGATACATCCCTTCCCGACGTTCCTGTGAAGTAGCCTGGGAAGTTTCTTATTTCCTCTGTGATTTTCAAATTGCCTCACAGCTTCTCTTCCGATTCTTAGGTACTCAGTTCTAGCCCTCTTAAGACCTTCCCTTCTGTTCTCTGGACCTCTGTTATTCCCGTAGTTTCTCCTCGCTCTTGTACTATACAGCTTTGCTTCCTTACAGCCCTGGTTACAGCACGGGTGCCTCCTGTACCTTTAATGTTATTGTTTTACGACAGGGACGAACTTCTCAACTCCTGACACATCTGGGTGACGTGCAGTAACAACCACATACAACCACCAGTAACAATCAATAACAATAACAATCTCAATCATTGACAATAACCACCATTACCAACATCGCCCCTTATATGATCCCTCCCAATTTTGCTTCACATATTAGCAATTCTTATTTCTTCGTAGTTTCCTCCTTGGAAATACCAGCCTTTTGTCGTCAGACTCGTTCCTTAACCAGGTCACTCAGTCTTCCAACACATTCTCAAATGTCAATAGACAGTGATTACTCATTTTCGTAAGCACTTCCATTTTGACTTACGTTATGCCCGTCTCATTCAGAGTGAATATCAGGTCAAGCCTTGCTGATTCATCAGCACCTGATTCATCCAAGTTCGCTGACATGATGCCTTACAATGTTTCCCTGTCATGTCAACAATCTTGGCTCTACATGTGTGTAAATCACGAAAATTAACACGTGATGAAATGTGACAGTGTCAGACCACGAAGGAAGAATTGAAACAGGAATTTCCTTAAGTACTTCCGTATATTAATACATCTTCAGAAGGAATGAGCTCTA